CGCCCTGCTCCCTTGCAGCACAGAGAACAACAGAACATGCAGTATGTGGCACCACATACATATCTGTGTTGCCATATACCACACAGTCACACTCATCTGGATGTGACCAGTAGAGGCTAAAATTTTTGGTAGGCATGCCACAAATTAGCCTCACATTCCCTGGGGGTCCTCTCTGTTCCCCTTCCCCTGCCTGATTCAGCTGCTGTGCTTGCTGCCTGTCCCTTCCACATGCTATTTGTGGCGCATGTCACAGGTTGACCACTCCTGAACTAACTGAATCAGAGGTGCATGGACTTTGATGAGGAACAGCTTACTTCACTGGGTGCTATGAAAAGACATGCAGAGAACAAGCTATCAAATAGGAGTGATTTAAATGCAAAAGCTGGTGTGGGAAGGAGAGCGGAGAGAAGGCAGTGCTGAGAGAGGCAGGCAGGGTTGGAGAGAACACCAGAGTGTTGACAACCTTTTAAACGATGGGATCGGTGAAACATTCAAACGGACCCTTGGGCCATTCCAACCAATGTGAGAAGTTTACCAGTTAATTGACAAAGCAAGATTAGTAGCCAAGGATAAGCTTAATCTTACTGAATGGGTCTTGACTGCTGAGAAGTGAAGCTGGCCAGGCTCAGGATCTCCACAGCAGAGGGTTCCTCCAGACAGTCCAGCAGGTGACATATAGAAGTTCCCAAGTCCCCCTCTCCCTCCCCTGCCACCTATACCCTCTATTCCACTATTTATAAATGGTCAGTAAGCATGATCCTTAATATTCTAATAAATGTTTCCTAATTGGTTTTATATAAATTTCTTTGTTTCACTGGGCACGTCTACATGTGTGCTTTAATGTGCAGTGTGGCCTGTTTTATTGCACATTAAAGCATCGCATAGAAAACTATGCAATTACCCCCAATGCTCAGTAAAATAGACTAGCGTGCATTGTCACTTAAAAACCATGCACATTTGTTACTGCACATTAAGGCAGCCTAACGCACATTTCTTTAGTACCTCACACTGGAGGGCACTTTTATATATACTCCAGGGTGTGTTTGGGGGCAGGGAGGAGCTTTAATTAGTGCAGCTCTGAAAGCCACTTTAATTTAAAGCACTGCAACATGTTGTATATCAGTGTTCCCATGCTTAAAAATGGCGGCAGGGGGGTTTGAACCCAGGAGCCTCCATGCTCATGTACAGGCACCCGGAGGTACTAAATTTAATACACAGTAGAAAAAGTGCCTTAATGCATATGTAGACTCACCCACAGAAACTTTCAGAACCGAATTAAACCAGATTTTTTTGTGGACCAAGGAAGTGTCAATTAGTTAAAATTTATGTCCTTAAGAAAGCAAAGGGAGCAGTAAGAAGGGTTTCTTATCTC